AGTGTGACTATAAACAGGTGTGACTATAGAGGGGTTTGACTATATTTATATATATATAATCTCACTGATTTTGTTTAAAGTCAAGATGTATTAACACAAATTATTTAACAAATCTCAATTCAGCTTTTGTCACTAGTATGTCAAAAAATTTCATTAAAATTTCTACATATAAAGACAAATTCAATGAAAATATTCTCGTATGGTTATCCAAGTACAAAGTATATTTGCTATACAAAATATAACCAACAATGTTACTCGTTATATATATTGTGCCTCACGTGCTCATTTTCGGCCAACATTAACCCATCTCCCAGCATTAACCCAAATCCTAACTCTAACTCCAGTAATGATTTGAGCATATACAAGTTCAGCCAACCGAACGTGCAGATTCAATTTTAGTTAGATCATATTATTGTTTTCGATTTTTATGAGCCCAATAAATTGTATATATCGATCCGATTCAAATGGAAAAACCACCAAAATGTTAATTTAACGAGCTATGATGGTTCTTGCAAAATATGAATTTGATGCTTGTGTTCGGTCATTTACGGTATGCAGTCAGGGCTCAATTTATTGACGAATCGGTAATCGAATTCCAAGATATAATTTTGGGAACAAGAGTTGCCAACTCACGATTTCATTGAGATCGCATTCAATTTAGCGATGTCTCTCGATTTTGCATTTTATCAATATCTTGAAATTATAGTCATTAAATCGAGCCCCGATTGTAGACCGGTCTTTGGACCGATTCATAAAACCGTCTTATGGTCTGGTCCAAAAAGAGACAGAAGACCAGTCTTTTTGGACGGGACCGAACCAAACCTACCTTGGATAGAGAACGTGTAGTGAGCAGCATGATAAACACTGGCCAAAATGATCTATTCATTTTCTTGTTTGACTATTGCTGTTTTGTAACATCCTTGAATGTGGTATATTTTTTGGATTGAATACTTTATGACAATGAAGATATGATAGGTATTGCTTTTGCTATGAACTAAAGTTTGCTTATATTGGCAAGTAATTAGTGTACATCTTGAAAATGTGATTCGTTAAATACATCGCGAAAACTTTTTTTTCATATAAACTGCTGAATCGGATGCATTTACATTGTCGAAAAGGAACTGATTATTGAACTAAAACGATAATAGTACAATAATTAACTGATTTCTTTTAAATACTTGTAGCAAATATTCACGTCACAAAGGATAGAATATTAGCCACCACAAATGCTTTACAAAATGATTTGAATTGTTGGTTGTCATTTTTTTCTTGTTTATGTTTTAGAACCTAAGTGAGCAGTGATGATGTTATTTTGTATGGAAATTAATTCCATTATCAACACAAAAAAACAGTAATAGCAGAAAGACAGCATTATAAAAAAAAAAAACTATCATCATTTTAGATTTATTGTTTAATAGGTTATTACGAACAAAAATCCTAATTTCTTCTTTTATTATAATAATGGGTTCCTCACCAAAGTTATAATGGTGTGGACGGTACTTTAAAGTAAATCAAATGGTGATAACTCGGAAATGAGAGCAATTACGAACAGTGATATAGTTGGTATTACTCGTTTGAATCATCTTTCAATATTGTCCTGATAAGTAGATGCAGAAAGGAAGAAAAAAAGCATCAAGCATAGGCGTGAATGCGGAAAAAACACAATTAGTCGACATCGCAATCAGTACACCAAACTTCCCTCAAATGGATGGATGGATTATTTTATGCCTCCAACGGTTATATATTGTTTAACTTTAACGTTGTGTACGAGAAGTTATTGCATCGCAAACTTTGTCTTTCAAGTGATGTATTACTATTGGTTATTGTTTTTCGTGGAGCAATTACCTACGCATATACACAGTAACTCTCTTTATAGTGTATCAAAAAAATCTATTAGCGTTAGCGTTAGTAAAAAATTTTTGAAAACTACGATATCGAGTGGATTTTATTAGAGATATTATCCACTATATCGTGAGTTTAATTAGTCTCCACTATAAAAGGGGTACACTATAAAGCGAGTCTGTGTACATCTAACTTAAATAGAAGCTTTTGAAATAATAAGAGAGTACAGGTAAGATAATTATTGGTATAGACAAAATCTCGCAAAATTATGTAAATAAACTATCGAAAAATAAGAAACATACACAACATATTTTAACATTAATAACCAATTAAATATGACATGTGTAAGCACCTGCATGAAATGCATGCATGAGCGCAATGACGTGCAGATATCTCGCGAATATCGCAAATTTTTTGAAAAATGTCATGCACATATCGCGAATATTGAGAGATATCTTTCGAATATAGTAATTTCGTAATTTCGTAAAAAGGTCATGCATATATTTCTCGCAACTTGTGATTCAAATTAATTTATTTTGTTATTAAGAAATAATCCTATAAAAAGGTAAGCTGTCCCGTCTTGCTAAAACGCAAAATCGCCACCCGCCTGCTTTTCTTGGTATGAATTTTGCTATACAATAAATTAAAACCTAACTTCTTAATCAATAAATTTAAAAAAAAAATGAATCGTCAAAATCAGCAACAACAACAGCGGTCGTTATACTCTAATACGGTACAAATCATTATAGATGGAACTCGTGACGTTTTTAATCACCAGGCGACTACATCATCAAATCCAAATCCAAATCCAAATCAAATTCAAAATAATGTTCAAAGCATACTCATGGAAGCCTACTTGTTAATATAACAATAACAATAACAACAACAATAATATCGTTTTATTATTTATATGATTCTGTTCCTATTCTGTTCTGTTCTGTTCTGTTCGATATTTCCTTTTTCGTTTTCATAAACATATAATTCCCATTTAGAGATGTTGCATTAGATATTTTATTTCAGTTTCGCATAATTCATTTGAACTAATTTTTTTATCTACATTTTGTTAGTTCCACATAAATTCAGTTTTCCATCTTTTTTTTACGAACATGAGAATTTATCAATTTGATAACTTTAACACTGTTTCGCCTTTATATATTATTTCACTTACAAAAAAACGAACAATTCGACTAATTCTTATCTTCGAATCCATACACCGATATAACTGGTAATGCTCAGCTTATATAAAAAATCAATGCCAATAGGCTATCTTTCTGTTTAACATAACCCTCACCCATTTTATATATCATATACAGCCAATAGAATTGCGTTATTTTTAGTCATGACATTTTAAATAATTATAAGCAAAGTCAAGTTTTTATAGAAAGCAATATGTATTTCAACCAATAATGTAACTGATTAATTAAAAATTAAAGCCTCAAATGATTGGCCTTCACAATTCCCAGACCAAGAATCAGGGAAAAAATTAGGAAAATGTGTTTCAAGAAGTTGAAATTGCATAAAAGATGAATGTTAATTACACCTCAAATTTATATTAATTTAATGGAAAGCATTCCTAGAAGAATTGCAGCATGTATTGATAATCAAGGATGACCAGCAAAGCGTTAAAAATTAAACTTTAAATTGAGTGTGTCTTTAAAGATGGAGTTTTAAAAAATCTCGCACAAGAATCCGTTTTTTTTTATTTTTTGCAGTATGATGTCATGGGATTACCTTATTAATTAACTAGCATAATTGCACATAACGATAACTATAAAACTTGCATGAAGAATTGACGATTTATTACAGGTCTTTTCTTTTTCGAATAGTATGGTATAATAATATGGTATACATGTTTTAGTTACTAAAATGGGCAAAACTTAGTGAAACTTACCAAATGTTTTAAGTGAAATTTATTTCTTGTTGGTAATAAAATTTGAGTGGTGCTTAAAATTAGTAGGATAAAGCAAATCAAGAATTGGATGTTTCGTTTCTGTAATCAATTAATTTTGATTTTTAAATAGTATTGTTATGAGCTCAGCCTTTAGTCTGTATACAATATCAAGCATTGGACCTTCGTTAAAAGCGACATGATTGGTTTCATATGTTTGATTAACAAATTGATCACGAAGTAAAAAAACTTCGACCAATGAAATTCGTGGAATTTGTTTGCCGAACACCACGAACAACTAGATTAATACAGTCAAATGATACTCGATATAATAATGATAACTCGTTATAATGATGACCAATTATAACGATAACAAACCAAAAACACCAATAAAATTTTCTTCGGTGTAGCGATTTTTATAATATAACGATATTTTACTGCTATTTGTGTTCATGATGAAATTTTTGATTTAACTCAAATCACGTGTAATCATTATTTCGATCGATTTTATAATATTATCTTTCTAAAAGCTCGGTCTAAAGTTTCTTGTAATTCATACATAATTTTTAGTGAATGATGATAACTAATTTTTTTTAAAAAAAACAAACAGCTCGAGAGCGGAATAAGAATATTGTGTGTTGACACATTATCGTTATCGATAACGATTAACTGAAGTTTAGGTTCAAAACCATGATTTTTGAACGTGACGATTTCACCGTTAGATGCTTTATTCAAATTCAACATTCATAATATCTAATCCCGTCAAATTATTCATATATACCACTAATAAAACTGCAGTCTTAAATGGTCCTTTAAAAAGACTTCCAGTCCTCTGACCGGGACGGGCCATGAACATCCCTAGCCAAAGATTTGTTTGAATCTTATTAGGATTTTTAAGGAATTAATTTCCACAATATTTTAGACTCAATTTCAAACCCTTCTGGTACAAATATGATTGAAAACGTGATTTTTTGATTGATAATTTGTATCGTTAAATTCTAATATGTCGTTAAACCAAATATATCATAAAATCGTGATGAAATGAATACAATAAAAAGTTCGTTATATCAAATTTATTATACTTTATAATTATTATATTTTTGATGCTCTGTGAAATGGGAATCTAGGTTTTTGTCGTTAACGTTAATGTGATTATCGTAATTAGTAACTACATCAGTGTATATAATTAAATGATCGACATTATGACGGAATAAATTTGGAGACGCGTTTACATAGAATATCTATCACCATTCTTCTCGCGTCGAATTAGATGGCATCCGCAAATTTCAATTACCAGGACAACAATAATCCTTTTCTAGTTCCTCATAGCACAGCACAATTGCCACCATTACAACCACCACAGCAACAACTTTCTTTCTTTAATGCTAACAATAGCAATAATGACAATGTTCCACCACAACAGCAACAACTTTCCTTCTTTAATGCTAACAACAATAGTATTCAACAGCTCAATGTACCACCATACCTATTAAACAAACTCAACGAGAAACAACTTGAGTTTGATCATTTGTTGATAGTAAAAGAGACGTCTGCACAAATGTTGATTTATTTTAATGTGCTTGCAGAAAAGCTTGATGAGTTGAATGTAGGATGTCAAGGTATACTTGGAATATTAATACGTTGATCCACGAGTATCCAACAAATATTATTTAACGCGCTTTTTTTCTAGCTGTTGCTAATGTTTTGCGTAATTGGCAAGAAGTGTTTCGAGCTGTTTCTATTACCGGTAACTAATAAACTATATACACTATTTGTGGTGACTTCATTGGATTAATACATAAATATGACACAATTTATTCAGAAACAACCAAAACCAAAGAGAAGCAGCAACAGAAATCAGAACATGATTATTTCGCTTCAAGCGTACGAGATACACCACCACCACCACATTCATATTTATCATCATCACAAACATCAATATTGAGTGAACATCATCATAGGCAGCAGCAACAAAGTATGTCAGCAGCACCTATTCCTGTACTGGTGCGCGTTCCCACGGAAAAATAACTTGAAAGCAAGAGATCAAATTATTGGAGGTGTGTGGAAGTGAATTTAGTAAAAAAGGTACTGTTTATATAGTGATCAATGCTTTCTATTGGTATATCATTTGTGATAATAAGAATCGAATTAATACATTATTGCCACTGCAACTGCTACACTTTATGGAATTATCCAAGATCGAAATTAACTAAATAATTTAATTACTACCTTGACATGTATAACGATTTCCCAATTATAATATAATGCAAGAGTTAATCCAAATTAATTTGTTGAATAAAATAAAAAATAACCTTATCATCTCAAATAATTTTCGTTAAATGAAAAAAAATTATAATCTACAAATCGTATAGGAAAGATACTTGTACCGAAAATACATTAAATATTTCTTTTATTGGAAAGTCGGATTTGAATTATCATTCATTCATCATTATTTTTCTCTTTCCCAAGGCTTTGGTCGTGGTTTAAATTGAGCTTCTTTTGGCGATTCTTTGTTTATTTCATTTGGTATATGTTTCACTAATCATTATTATAAGGAAAGAATGAAACGTTAAGTTTGGTTATTATTGATCAATATTATCATTTAGTTTATTACCTGGTATTGGAGTACCATTCGCAATCATTTCACATATCTCTTGAAATGAATGAGGATATTTTGGTGTGTTATTATCGGTATCACCCGGAAAAGATCCTCCTAGAACATTACATATTTTATTCAAGAACACGCAAAGATGGTTATAATTCTCGTCTCTAGTCAAGAAATTACCTGCATTAATTTCAGCACCTAGTTCCTCTTGGTCTTTTTTATCATTGGACATACTATCATCAGCATTTACTCTTGTTTCTGTTGATGAAGATGATTTTGTTGTAGGTATCGATTCTGATTTTATTTTCCCTTCTCCTCTTCCACTATCATCATCGAGATTATTTTTATTAGGAGACGTGAGTGATGATGACTTTTGCGAGTTCTTCCAAAGAATGTACGAATCGTAGTCAATTTTTTCCACCGTTCTTTGTTTGTTGCATTATCATTGAAATCGTGGGTCCATCGATCTAGATGGAATGCAGAATCTCTTATTAAAACATATACCCAAACCAAGAAATCGAAAACGATGACATACAAGCAACGTGCCATTGTTTATTAGAATAAGAAATGATAATTCAAGATTGAATTGAATTTGATTCATTTTCAAGTATAAAATTAATTCCGAGAATATTATTTAAAAAAAGAATACTTTGAATAATAAAAACATTTAGCCTTCTCAAGCATCTGGTTGGCTTCTTTTGCCGATTTGGAAACGATTGAGTTATGAATTGCCGATAACCCTACCTTACATTTTTTCATAAATGTAACGAGAAAACAAGTCCGTTAGAACCGAATAATAAATAACGCGAAGAATTTTATATTTGCTGTTGTTACTTGAAAGTTTGGATCACGGTCAAAATCGTAACTTTCGAATGCTTGGAATACGTGCTGATTTGACATTATCTGGAAAAAACTATATACCGTAGTTTCAAAAAATTTTATATGATCTACCAAAATAGAATTTATAGAAACCAGACGTGTTGAAAATGTCGAATTCACCAACTACAGGCCGCGTTTTATGCTTCTTAGGTTTCTTAATATTTATTCATGCCTCCTATTCTACGTATGAACGTACGTATTACTCTAAAGCAAAGCTTTTATCATTTAAATTTAAAAGGCAAATAGTAATTTTTTGTCATCTTGGTCTTGCAATCTCTAGATCTCTCTTATTTAAAGGCAGTCGAGAAAGTAGAACGAGATTTGCCTATTGATGTAAGTAGTGATTTACTTATTTATAATATTAAGGATATATAATAAAGAACCGTTAGTTAATTAATTATCCTCAAAAAGATAACAATCGAGACATTAGTCTCAGTGGCAGTTTTCTCGTTGGGAATTATACTGGTGGCGAATCCGTTGAAGGAGATATTGATGAAAACGGAAATGGCTAAACAGTATTTATTTTGCTCGTTACTCGATCATGATTGTTTCGATTTGTTTGGTTAATTTAAATTCGTGTTTGATTTTTTAGAACTATCGATAAAATTGACACACGACCTTCTTTTATGACGTTCAATCATCGTGGAAGAATAGTGCAATGATTTATTTGAAAGAGTGATATTTTTTTCCAAACTCTGCATGTTTTAATTATTTATCCAAGTTTGTATGTGATTTAGATGAGATGATTACTTTTATTTTTTTTCTAATACTTCTTTTAAAGAAACGCCAGCAGACCCACGAGCTTTGGGTTTCGGTTGCGAGACGTCTGGTTTCCATCCGATCTTTTCAGAATAAATAAGAGAATATTTTCGTCAGTCGAATAGTATATATGTCTAGTAATATACAATCAATACGAAGTATTTGATTTTTTACTTACCACATACATTATCTATGTAGTAATTAATGATTGATGTCCATTAGAGAAATAATAAATTTAATATCATGAAGAAGTTAGGATCGTGACATACCTGAAAGGTAGCCGGAATTGTGCCTTCTGGATTTCCATACATTTCTAAGTACGCGTACGTCAGAAAAATAAGAAGAAAAATCAATCAAAAGAGAATATATGGCTTACCCTTGTATATTGCAGCACTTGCTATCAATGTATCTCTTTTTAAGAATGGGCGTCTAGAGAACATATAAAATCGAATAGAGAAAAATACAATCACATTAATGAAAACGATAACGATGATGAATAAATACCTATTTATAACAGCATTACTTTCACCCATGGCTCGTAAGTCCAGCATCAACTCGAACGCACTCGGATAATTAACGACAATTTCGTCGATATCGATAGTTGTCAGGGTGAAGTCTGCTCGTGACAATAAGCTGCCCAGGTCCCTTACATCTGTTCAAAGTTGAATTAGTAAATATATCATCGCTATCATCTAAACATTATCTTGATCGTAATACCTGTCATTGGTGATACACGCGGTGAAATACCCCCTTCACGTTCCGATTCTGCTAATTGTAGTGACGTTCTGTGTTATAGAAAGGATCTTATATTAAATGATTAAAAAGTGATTGGATTTACTTCATAATAATTTCTTGCCTTAACTCAAATAACGTCTCCCCACCAAACAGCGCGGCAATAAATACGCCATCAGGCTTTAAGGAACGACGTATCTGTATAAACGTGCCTATAATGATAATATATGATATTCGTCTTTAATTGATTGAATCAAAATCACTCATGTGTGTGTGTATACGTATTACCTGGCAAATCATTCACCCAATGAAGTGAAAGATTACTAACGACAGCCTCTAAAGAATTCTCTTCGAAAGGTAGCAACTCTTCGTCGACTACTTTTCGTTCAATTTCGACTTTTATTTTATAACATATTAACATGAATTTTTGGTTACACGCAGAATTTCAAATCACGTGTTAATGAATATAAACATACCTTCGTATTCTTGATCTGCATGTCTGTTTAAAGCCACATCTATAAAATATGAATCTAGCAATGTAAGCGTGAAAAATTTGGTAACAGAAAAATATAAAAATAGGTGAAAAGAAGATCAAACCTGACATATCACACATAATCAATCGTTTACAAACATTCTCGTCCAAGAATTTCGCGATATGTCCACATCCACTTCCCAAATCAACAATCGTAGAGAAATCTCGTTTTACATCCTTCGATTTGATTAAGAGTAAATTCAAGAATAACATTTCACGTCAATCAATCAACTTATTAAAATAATAATTTAACATCTCACCAAAATTCGATCAACTATTCGTTGTGCCACCTCATCTTTTAAATAATCAACTTGCCGACTGGCTTCTTTATCAATGGCTGCACGACTACGCTGTCGTGTTTTCATGTCACGATTGAATACTAGGAAAGGTACGGGGACGTTAGGACGTTCTTGAGTCGTCGTCGTCTTCTTTTCCGAGAATTCTGTTGGATCATGTGATATCGAGTTTGTTGAAGACGCGTATAATCGATGTTGTGATGTTGCGGTGGTTAGTAATGATGGATTTTTTGTAAACGTTCGCAGATGAGGAAATAAGAACTTTTTGATATGTTGTCTCATTATCATTTCGGTACAGATGTTTGATGTTTGTTTATGCATAATCGAATTCCCACGAAATAATTTGCACATGTTTTAAATCCGAAAAGGCAGAATGAGAAATGGAAATTTTATTGATTTCCATTATAATGCTGATCAATAACGTTGCCGAGATCAGATCTTGACGATTAACTTGAAAAATCCGGGTACGCGAGGGTTTTAGGTCACGTGGGAGTGGAATTAATATGGTATTGTATGTATGCTGAATTAATTTGTGTTATTGTTTGGATGTAAATAAAACAATATTTGTGCCCTGTGCTCTCTTTGTGAAGGTATCACAAACCAATTCCATCATCTTTAATCACACACGCTAACCATCTATTGCCAAGTCTACATTAACAGTTGAGAAAATATTTTAGTTACCCAAACTCGAAACTATTTATTCTACCACTCGAACTAAACTTTATTGTGATTTTTTACACGCATACATAAACATCATCGAAGATTTTACGTTCCATTTCTTATTTTTTCCCTTCTCTCGCAACTCTTTTTTTTATCTCTTTCAAAAAACAATTTAGATCAAAGGTTACCGACCCAAAAGTCGCAAAAACATGAATCAACTCGAAAAATCGTAAATTCACTTGTCGTGTCAACCAAACATACCATCTCATAGTAAAATCATCGACACAACTTTATTTACATTACACTAACCATAATTAATTACATACAAAAGATATCGGACCGTTTTTCACCTCGATCAAATAATTTTAATTCTTGTCTTGTGTTGTTTATGGCCTCACAACACACACACACACGCACCCACATACTTATGCTCACCACTCTCCCATTTGGCTTAAATCAATTCTCTCTACTTTGTTCTACTATTTATTAGCTTTACCTCCATTAATTATAATCATCATTTACAATAATAATACTATCACTTAGAAAACTTATATTTTTTTAGAATTAGAAAAGACGACATAAAAATCGTAATAAATTTTATTTTCATTCATTGTTTTTAAAATAACCAAACCTGCCAACAATATAAAAAAAATCGGAAATAAAAAATCAATCACCTACACTTACTACTAGACAATACTACATAATAAAGCGATATCGAGTCTTGAACAATTTCATTTTCACACTTGATAATAATCATAAAATTAATTCGATTCCCAATTTTCGAAGGTAAGTCAAGTCATTCTCTCGCTCTTATACTTTCCAATGAGTGTAGACTCCCTAAAAAAAAATGGAGGCATTTCCTTGTTCTCCATCAATCATCAACAACAGCTGTCATCAAATAATATTATATTCTCACGAAATTGATCATTCGATCTTTTTTGATTTTGTTGTTTGACCCGATCAGGCGAGCATGATTGATTTCTAAAAAAGTTAGATCAAGTTAACCCAATTAATTAAACAATCAGACAGTCAAAAAATGACGCGATTCAATATAGATTACATATATAAGATTGACAACCTGATCTTGATATATACAAAATTTTGATACTAATAACAAATCCATTTTTGGGCTATCCGATTAGGCGATTAAAGAGAATCCCTTACAAAAACGCGAATTTAAATCACGCGCTCCCGAGAAATGAGTATTTTGGCGTCCAATTTCGGAATACCAACTCCACCCACGTCGGTATTCGACGATAATTTGGACGCGAAAAGTCCATTCTTTCCGCCTTTCTCGAAAAAGAATGATGAGCATTTCTATTCAGCTTCTCCCTCATCCACAAATGGAGCTGCTGAAATATATTCACCTGAACCGGCAAGTCCAATAATCACAAACACCAACGCTAACATCATCATCAATTCCAATTCCAATTCTACAATTAACATGAATAATAGACAGAATAATGTGTCATCATCACGGAAAAGTAGATCTCGTTATTTGATATCTGATGATTCGGTGTTATCAAAAATTATTCCCATGATTATGAAGGAACATAACATGGATTCATTATCTTCTTCACCGTATGATAATGATTCATCATCCTCTTATTCCTCATTCGATAACATTTCTTGCTCAAAGAACAACTCCGTGTTATCATTATCTACGTCATCAGCATTGACATCAAAAAGAAAACGAAAAGGAACCCCTTATAGATCACCTGATCAAGATGAAAATCAAAACGATCCTGGAATGATATTTAGATTTCCGGTTGTTTTTTCCGACAACCAATCGTCTGCTTCGTCATCTTCTTCATCTTTACAAAATACTCCAGCAATTACTGTAACCGAAGATCCATTCAATAATACCAATGATAATGATGACATTGATAATCAGTCATCAATCTTGGATTATTATCCAACAAAGGCAATCTCTACTACTCCGTCAGCAACTATTATTCATCGACCGGTGTTATTGCCTGATGTCGTACGCTCGATTAGCATATCGAGAAGATCGAGATTGAGATCAAGACCCGTTACTCGAGCAAAGAATAAGAAGGAAGATCAATTTAATTTTAATACGGGATTGGATTTACTTTTTGATGCTGCTATTTCTACGAATCCATCCTTTTCAAACAATGTTCCTCATCAGATCCATCAAGAGAATTTATTAAAAGCTCCTCGTCATATATCATCATCATCATCGCCTCAATTATCCACCAAACAAGCACCCATCAACAAATTCCTTTCTCGACCATCTGGTCGTAGTGCACATTCCTCTAATGGTGTCACTACTACTAATAATAATTCTCGCGTTAATACTAATTTCCCACAATATAAAAATACCTCATCATCGTCTACTGGACATTTTAATGCAAATAATGCAACAAATACTTCATTTTATTATATTTCCGACAAACGACGAACCTCAATGTCACTTTCATCTTTGTCATCTATGCCCACTTCAGACCTAAGTGATCTCGATGCTGATAACTATGGGGATGATGAAGATGATTTCTTGCGAAATCCTAAACAAATTAAACTTGGAACTGGTTCTGGTCTTGGAATTACAATTACACCACAAACTCCAACCTCGTATAACAACGGCAAAAATATCGCCAAAGCCAATAATAATTATTTAGCAGTTAATAATAATAATTCTGCTACTATCACTACTACTATCATCACCACCACCACCACTACAAGGGAACGTAAAGATGCAAATCATAGAACAAAAGTTTGCGCTAGTTGTAGAACTAAGAGTACTCCCTGTTGGAGACCTGGTTGGCGACCTGATCTTTTCTTATGTAATAGTTGTGGATTGAGGTATAAGAAGACAAAGTGTGTTTGCCCGAATTTAGATTGCAGATATATTCCGTTGAAATCGGAATTTAACGCAATGTTTAAAAAACAAAAGAATGGTGGCGATATACCGGATGCAAAACGATGCTGTAAATGTTCAAGTTATATTGCGAATAATGGAAATTGGCGAGTTTGATCTCACCAATCAATACTCGCAATAACTATCGATATCCACAAGAAAGTTTGGGCATATTAATTTCACTTTACAACAAGTAAAAAACGAGAAGCAAGCTGTGTCTATTTATTAGATAAGACGTGCTTTTTTTTATAAGAATTACTTTTTTAAACAACCAAAAAAGAAAATAATGGTGGATCTTTCTTTTTTGTCTGTTTAGATATAATAAGCGAGTAATCTGGTTGCCAAGTTTCTTCATCTATGCAATTTTTTCTTTTTCTTCTTTTTTTAATTCACTTTTCTTGAATTTCAATCTAAAAAAACCGGGGTTTTCAATTTCTTTTTCTTCGCAGATTTTTTTCAAAAAGCACAAACAAAACAAACACACAAAATCAAAGAATATAATTTCGGGAAAATCGTAAAAAACACCGATTACTCTAATATTTTTTGAATATGAGTCTTTAATATTTCAATATCGTCTGATTTCCACCACAAAATAAGATCATTCAATCCTATGTTTGGAATTCATGCGCTCAAACTTTCAACAACCATCATTCTTCTCTTTAAATAATTTTCACTTTTTTCTTTACTACACAACAAAACAATTCTGATATTTATCATGTTTTTCTCATATAAATATAAATATTTATCATTTTTTTCATTATTTTTCTCGTAAATCTGCGAGGTACTTTTCACTTATACCTATGCTACAATCGCGTGTCGTCATCAATTACATAGTCATCATTCGAGGCGCGAGTCGCCTGAGACAGCTTTTCATTTTTTTCTCTGTTCTTGTTCTTTTCATCCTCATTTTTTTCTCTTTCTTATATATATATTTTTGATCTCCATTTTCCTATTATTATTATTATACTGCACTATAAATAACATCTCCCTTTTTTTATATTTCTTTTCCCGGGCTTCATCAAGAAAAAAGTTGTTAAATTTCCTGTTACATTATGTATTATAATTTTTATTTTACTCTCCCAACTTTCACTATACACATTTCAAACGAACGCGCACATGTATTTTCTTGTGCGTTTCTTGGATGTTTTACGTGTTTAACTTTCACCAAAAAAAATCAATAAAAAAATGCTGGCATGATTTCGAGTGACAGAAAAAGGTGGTGATAGTGATAAAAAGATGGTGACTCGTACATGAAGCGCGCATTTTTTTGATGTGCGTGCATGTGTTGCGTTGATTTGCTATAAAAAGTAAATTGATGTTCATATTTTAAGGTTTTTTCTGCATAACGTTGCATTTGTTGGCGTAATTATTCAACTATAAATATTATTTATTTCTCTACGTCGGCGACAATATATGTTGCAATGGAAAACTGTCAATGATAGAATCAGCAATATGGTCAAGACAAAACAGATCAGACAAATATTGAAGTTGATGCCTGATTAATCGTTTCGGTCTGGACCGATGGACCCTCAATCCGTCCTAGGACCGGAACGGCCCAGTCCATCAGAAAAGACCGAATTTAGTGAAGTAACACATTGAACATGCGACATAATGCGGAAGTACATGAATAGGCATGTGAAATGATTCGGGAGGCTGGAAATAGATTTTTTGGTGTTCTGACTCAGTCTGGGGACCACGGTTCGGTCCAGTCTTTCCTAAAAACCATCGGTCTTTAGACGAACGGACTGATTAACAACCCTAGCTCAGAACGGACTATAATGAATCCCTTTTGATATATATATATATAACGGATTTCTTGATTAAATCTTGATAATTGATGAAACAGATGAGTCCGTTATACGTGTAGATATATGATCTTAATTATGCTAAATAAATCGTTTAGATATTTGCCAAATTAAAAAAATAATGGGCAAAAGACTGTACCACCTATCTATGAAATTTAAAGTGACATAATTAAATTTCTCACTTCTGTCAATAAGTTTTTGGTAGTCAACTATCTTTTATTACAGAAAGAACTATAAGAATTTCAGACCACTTCTCTTATAATGTACAAATTCATTGCGCACGTTATTCCATATTTGAGGTGCACTATGTGCACATGTTAATTTCTAAAAATGAATTTGCCAAAAATACATGTGATAGAATGAGTATGATTTATAATAAAATTTGCAGATGAAACAGCGATAATGATTACTTGTTAAAGATTATATTTCAAATGTCAATTAATAAATAAATGCAAAATGAAAATTATTATTCCAAATCACTAATACAGTAAGGCCGTGACCTATATTACGTAATATAGGTTTACTATAAAGCCCATCCCTCCCTCAAGGATATTATGCAATATCTCACAACCCAATTATTAAATAATGTAAAATAAAATTACAATGTCAATTAATCCAAAAGTCATAGTAAAAAATAAACACCACCATCGAAAAAATAAAATCATATAAAAATTTCAGCAGGCGTAACCGCATAAGAAATCACACTTCCCATCAAATTCTCTTTTTCCAAGAAATGTAACGGGAACTCAACCAAATGTCCACGAACTTTATCCAGTTTCTGTTGTATCTCTTCGGGAGATTGTAGTGTGTTGGCAACGTGTCCCGCAGGAACTTTGGTTGCGTCAGGAACAAAATTTTTGTATTCCGTCCAATCAGTTACTATTCAATATAATTTATCAGACATAATCTAAGTCAAAAAAAATAACATAACCAACAAAAAGAAAAAAATACCATTATCATCAGGAACACATCGAAAAACTGCACGAAAAGCTTCTGTATTAGTACGAGCAGTTTTCACCCAGCAATCATAGAATTCATCAGACAACGGATCCATCACTATCAAATCTTCTTTTGTGGGATGTTTTGAAGGCGTGCCACCTGTAGATGAATGCTTGCCGATTATATCGGTCACTGAGTGACCTTTTGAGTGGCCTCTTACATGAAAATTGTACAGATCTTCGGGATTGATGGGTGGTAATGAGCTTTTTGTGACAGAGTGGTGGGCTTGTGGTGGGATTAGACCAAGGTGTTCTTTAAATAAGAAAGAGCGTAGGGTGTAGGCGAATTTTGATGCTTGATACTTTAATATGTTAATTACGGAAGAAAAGAATATTTTTAGCAATGTAAAAAAACCCCTGATAATATTGTATAATATGATAAGAAACTTACAATTTCTCCATTCATTCGAGTTGTGACTGTTAATTTATCTTCAACCAAGACTGCAATTTCTGAATCACGATTACCAAGTTGTGATCTATCATTCAAATTTGCTAAATAATACTTTGGTTAGTCCATGAAAGCCAAATCAATCAAAAAATTTAATAATAAATCAAGTTGACATACCAGACCCACAAACAACATAACGATCATCAACAATCAACAATTTAGTATGAACGTACAATTCCTCAGTCACATAACCATGATTCGTATCGCGATATCCCGAAGCCAGCGGCGGTTCAACGCCTTCAAATTTTTCGTGTCCATATGCTTGTTCGTCCGAGAATGAATCTTCTTTCTGAACTGAATTTGAATTCCGTTGTTGTTGTTGTTCGTGAGTCGACGTGGTCTCTATGGACGCCAATCCTAGAGCTCTCGCAGCGATGGAATCTAGAGCGTAAATATTTTGGTTTCCGAATAATGAATTTGATGAATCTTCGGTTTCTTCAACCTCTTTGCCTTTTTGCTTTAGCGATTCTTCTTTTTGAGGATTGTGATCACCAGTTGTTTGACTCTTATTATCGCTGTTATTTTGACTATTCTTGTCATCTTCGATAGGATTACACTTGATTCTATCGTAGCTTCTTAACGCGAAGAATGAAATATAGTCTTCAGGATTTATGCTTAGTGCTTTAAGTTTATCTAAAACAGAGTGTCCGCCACGACAAATTGATACATATTGCCAGTGCATTACCATTCTATTTTTTTTTGTTGTGTATGCATTTACAATAATCACAAAGAAACGCGCATTCACAATAAATAGTATTAGATAAACGAAAGTGCGAGCAAATGAACAAATAAATAATATATATTTAGCACTTTACCGTATAGTACCAGCATCCTTAGAAGCTAAATCTGCTTCAAAAGCAGGTAACAAAGGCATAATGACGATTACTCTGAATTTTTCACCTTTTGCATGGGCTTTTATTATGCGATTTACGAGTTCCTTTTTTGAGGGAATAATTTAATTCATTAATATTGTGATTATTATTTACTACTTCTAATTGCGTAATATTGTCAAAATGAAAATATAAGTTTTACCTGTCCGATAATATTTTGTATAGGATTAGGCTTATCAGACTCGCCAGTCGAAGTGACTAAATACATCAAGCATCAATAATAAATCCCTTTCTTAATAACCTGCTCATATAAACAAAAAATGCTATTGTTGGATCTTTATTGTTAACCTTACCAAAGAACTGATTCTCAATATATATAAAATGCTTCGACTTTCTTATCAGGTCTATATAAGCATTGTAAATGGATAACTACAAAATTTAAATAAGCCATCTCACATTAAATCATAGCTAACACCAGAATAACAAAAAAAAATAATCAAAAAAGAACTCACCTCCTGCTTAACTCCACTGCTCCATTCAGCGCTGCTTCGTAAAAGCTGTACATTACAAGTACCTTTAAACCTACTCTCGTCACGTGTACTAACATACTCTCCTTTAGGCGTAAGAAACGGTAATGTTTCACGTCCAATCGCTTTTTCATCTTTGATAAAGTTCCATCGTTGGACAAAGTGTCGCGCAACATCTCGTGCTGGTGTTCCAACCTAGTAATAATGATAACAAAAAAATAGAATTAAATAATAAAATAATATAATATATGCTATGCGTAAATAAACGTATTCTGATAAATCTTGTCAAAAATAGTTTACCAATCCTATAGAAACATCATGCCACGGCATACGCGGAACTTTAGATTTATCCACCAAGACTCGTGCCCATTCGGCAACTTGAATAAAAAAATATTTATTGGTTAATTTAGGATAAACTCAGACTTTGGCTCTGGGCTATGAATATAATTAATAGTAGAGACTGGAAACGTACCTTTGTCAAAATCTTTGATTCGAGGATTCGAGTAATCCTGACCAGGCCATATATCAGGAAGGATTTTATCTGGATGATTGTCGGCCAATTCGTGAGTGTGTGTATCGTATCGTCCAAAACATAAATCTAAGCCGCCCAAAAATGCTATTCGGCAATCGACTACTAATATTTTCTGAATCGATCGCGTTTATATGTGTGTCAGTTTGGGTATTTATAATTTTGTTGATATCTCTAATACATACCTCATGGTGCTGAAAGTATAAAAAAATATTCATTTTAGTAATCTTAATTCGAAATAAGATGATTATAGTAAACATCGAAGAAAGTAAATCAAACGCAAAACCTACCGCCCAAAACATTATCCCTTCAGGTCCATGATCCGGATGTCTTTGGACTATTAACATGATGTTTGTTTATTAATTATAAAGAGCATATGTTAATAAAGTAGAATTATCCAGAAAATCAACCAACCAACCTTTAATATTCGGATGCATATTTCTCAAAGTAAATTTTGTGTGATGCGAATCCATATAGAATGCTAGTGAAACTTCTTTATATACTACAATATAAATCATTATGCCTTCTTCTGCTTTTTTTTTTAGTAGCTTGTCTAGGCGAAATTCTTCGTTCTGTGCCGTTGGACGACGTAAATACTACATTAAATAAAAAAGAGCTCAGAAAAATGTGAGAATATTCACTTTTCTCCTAGCAAAGAAAGCATATCCACAAAATCAATCAATCACGCCTACCAACCAATTCAGGACTAAGCCACCAATCCTCAATATAAATCTCTGATTTAGCAGCCAAGATTGCCTCCGAAACTGCGTGAAAATAATCTTTTCCGTCGACATACCACTTGACTTTGACGTTTTCCCGTATAGGAGCATACGACTCGTACTGGTGTTGTTTCAACCATGGAGACGAGACTTTTACGCGTTCAATGCTTTCAGTGAACTCGGCGAGGGTGCGCGAATCGGCTTTTATTTCAATTTGGCGCGCGTAGTTTTTTAGTGTGACGTGATCGTGGAGTTTGAACATGAACATGCCGCTTGTGTTTTTTTCGTATTTGAATGTGGAGTCGAGGAGGAAGACGTCGGAGGGCGTTGGTGAATCTATGCTACTACAGAATGCAATGTACCTGAATACAGTTTTATTGTTAGATTGCATTTACTAAGGAACGGTATAATAAATGCTTTTCAAAGGATTGTTTTATATATACGAGAACAAAATACGAATGAAAAAGGATACGAATCGCGAACAATAACCCACTCCCTCTCCCATCGTTCACTCGTATTACTAAACGAACAAAGCGGTGTCCTAAACCTCTGCACTTTGTTCCTCATATAGCCTTCTTTCCCCTTCCACCCCATATCCCTTGTAATCGAAATAACGCTCAACTCCAAAAACTCATACAGATCATAACACACATAAAAATTCAACACCTTCAACAACTCCAACAAATATTTCTCCAAATGTTTGCGTCGCTCGAGTGCCGCATCACGTTGGCGTCTATGCCGATTTTCCAACGTCCCCGGCCAGATCTTCGCCAGAAACCAGTGCGCGAGGTTAGCAGGAAATGTTGGGAGATCGGGTAACTCATTACGCGATTTTATTAGTTTTAGAGCGAGTTCGGAAAAGTTGATGCCGGTTCTCTTTATTACCCATTTGACATCACCGTATTCTAGTTCTATGCGAAATATATTTTGGAAGTTAAAGTATGTTTCGTCGTATTCGGAGTCGGTGATGGCGAGCTATTTGATGTGTAGTAATTATGTGAAGAGTTAAATCTGTCACGTATATAGAAAGAATGTTGAATTATAAGTTACCTTTAACATGTTCAAAAGAATTGGTGGCTAACAATAGGATTTATTTCATTAAATCAACCTTTAAACAGCATATATTCAAAATAATCTACATAAAAAGATACTAACTGCCCTACGCCCTCTAGAATCTCGCTTCAACCAAAAGAAAGGAACAGCAAGTGGACTCGGGAAAGTAGGAGTAAGAGCCATATACGCATTATCATTTTTCAAGTGCTGTCTACCGTCCGCGGCAACAAGAACTTTATTAACAGCCGCCAAAGCAGCAGCCTTTTTAAAAATTGCACTTAAATGGTGTTTAGCCTTTTGACCACCACTATTATCATTGCCACTATTAACATGAGACCCTTCACCATCCACAATCCATGTGTTTGAGCTCCCGATAATATCATCCGATTGATATCGAAAAATTTCAGGCTTCTCTGGTCTTTCCTCTTCTACATATGGCGCCGCTAGTTGTTCTTTAGTCAATGGTTCGGAAATACCTCCTTTTGATGTTGCCCTGTTAAATCGTATTCGGGTTCCCTCTTTAGAGGATGTTTTAGGGGATGTTTTAGGGGATGTTTCACGGGATGTTTCACCACCTCCGCTGTCTACAATATAGCTCAATAGAGTTCTAATTGTTTGCAGGTGTGTATGTTCTTCTTTGTTAATGTCGTTGGTTGATTCGTGAATTGAACCTTCGGGTGACGGTTGTTCCATTCTGGGAGATTCTAGAAGAGCTTGAGTTTTGTTGGAGAGTGCGACTTGGTTGTTATCGTTTGTGTCGCCATGCTGTGAAGATTCTTGTTCATTCTGGTCTAACGCTGTTTGAGACATTATTATTATTTATCTTCTTTTATTATTAACCTCAACAAGAAATCCCGTTAATTAAATTTAAAGTTAACGCGCAACACGATAATTACGAATTTACACCGAAAATTACTAAATTGGATCGAGGAAAGATATTGCATCATTATCGTTACTTATACTTTATCGTTATCATGCAAAAAGATGTCACAATTATCTTTTGTCTTTCCTAATTAGGTATACATATATGAATCAAGATCTCCAAAGACTAGAGCATATATCGATATATATACTAAATAAAGCGCATACACATAACAGTTTATAAAAAGACGATAATGTTGCCGGTCGTAAAATTCGCAACACAAGAAGAAAGTTATAAAGTTATTATATCGATATAAACAAATATGCGCATATCATAAAAGTCAAGTTTATTTAGAATTATCATTATACCAAAAATTAGCTGCGCCATATGATCATGATATGGCGCAGTAACCCAATGACTTCTTAATTAAGAAGTAAATACAAAATTTCAATCCAAATGTGGATTAAATTTTGTATTCACTTCTTAATTAAAAATGCAATTTATTGTTATATACATGTACATCATATCAGATTTCCCCCTTGAACAGCGCCCATGTTAAAATAAGCTGAGGAAATCGTTAATTGATTTATTTATTTAAGAGAACACTACAATCCAATCAAACAATCTCCATCTCTTCACCACTGTCATCATCATCATTATCTCCTTCGTAGCCATCAAATGAGTTTCTTCGTCGTCTTGCTGTTGGTGTTGTAGTTAATTTGACAAATGGATCGATATTAGGGATAGCAGCAACAACAGATTCAAGAGAAACATTTCCTTCTCCTTCTAGAGCAGGAAGAACTTCGTCGACATCCATTTCAACCTCTGAAGGAATCAAGTCTTCTTCTATCATTGAATTATTTACGATGTGTGATGACAATGCTACTACTGGTGATTCTTGAGCTTTATTGCTAACATTATTCTTTTCTATTATTATTCGTGATTTGTGTATTTCAGATATTGAACTTGTAGTATAATTATTGTTCATTTTGTCTGTATTGTCAATTTCAGAGGTTTTGTTGCCGGTTCGTTTTTTATTCTTCTGCGTGACAGTAAAAATAAAAAAAATTTAATGAATAACAAAAAATTCGCAAAAAACATAAAAGAAGACAACTCACCCCCACTAGGCTATCTAGCGGCCAAATAGGTGGCCTATACAATACTAAAGCCTGCACAGGATTTTCCTCTTTCCTACAATTTTTAACATCATCAACATCATTAACCAGCTACTTACAGAACAAAAAATAATAATAAAAAGCTACATACTTTCGCGAGACCAAGATTTCCTGAGGTATTTTCTGCAAAGACTTTCGTAGATCACGAGGTATTTGTATGGTAGTCTCGTTTTTAATGTGATTGTTTTTTTGGTTGTTATTGTGATCACCAATCTCACTGTTTTCCGAATCGGAAGCATCTGCGTCAAGATCTGTGACTATTACTACATGTTTTGATCGTGTCGAAGATGTTTTCTCTGTGTATCTTGATCTGTCATTATCTAATAAGTCAGCAAATCCGTCCAGCGTTTCAATTGTCATGTCATCAGTAGTGATAATAGAAGCAGCAGAAGAAGAAGCAAAAGAAACCGCTACTAATAATCATGTCAAATAAAAATGAAAAATCAATATATTATCAAAACTATCCGTGCATTTTTGCTTTCTTTTCTCCGTTTGCATTCGATTCATATTAACCAACCGAGAGAGAAAAGATTAAGAACATCAAAAAAAACCACCGACCAGAACTGCTTTGTGTACAAGAATCCTGTTCGCTTTCATGCAACGAAAGCGCCCCCAATTCTGAGGAAAGAAACTCTGAAACGTATCGCCGTTTTGCTCGTTCTGTTTCTAGTTTATCGAGTTCTAGGCTGGCTGGCAGCCGTCGTTTCTTTGAGTTTTCGTGTTTGCTTGGAAGAGAAAATTTTTTCATAATTTGAAGTTTCTCAATATTAGCAAGAAAATCACGCAACACATTAATATCATTCTTTGTGTGACTATGATGGTTTTTTAATATATTGATAGCTTTTCAAAAATACTTGTATGCAATAATAAACATTAGATAAGATATTAACGTTAATATCAAAACAAATTTATTACTCAAATTGGAACAAAAATCTATTCTCAAGATCAAAAAAGAAAGCATTAAAGAAAAACAATGATAATTATTTTATCTAATCTAATTAAAGAAATTCAGAATATTTATATACAATCAGATTTCTTTATACTTCTCATAGTTATATAAAAAACATTCACATTCACATTCACATTTATGTTTGGTATTAAATTATTATTGAACTTAAAAAAATTTTCTATAATTCTGATAAATATAATATTTTATATATAAATAAGTACAATAGCTTACAAAAGTAATGTATCACTTTCAAAATTTATTAATAAAGTACAGATTTTTCTTTTCATATGAAAGTTTTTAATTTTGTTAACCAATATTTTTTATTTTATACAAAAAAATATAAATAAAAATTTATATTTTAATACAATATATTTTTTTCAGATTTTTTATATTTAATTTGAAAAGTTTTTCTAATTATTATATATTATATTAAAATATAAATTTTTTGTATAAAAATAAAATAATATTAATTAGTAAAATTGAAAACTTTCATATAAAAGAAAAATCTGTATTTTATTATATTTTATTAATAAATTTTGAAAGTGTTGCATTACTTTTGTAAGTTACTATATAAGTAATATAATAAAATTAACAATAATTAATAATAAAAATTTGTAAAAATAATTTAAATATTTACAAAATTTATTTAGTAAACAAAGTCTTTTATTTACAAAAAAATAAAATTTTTATTTTAAAATACTTGTTATTTTAAAATTATAAAAGTCAATTAAGAAATTATTATTTTAATTTTATAAATATTATAATAAATTTATGAATATCTAATTTAATTTATTTTAATAAAATAGTTTGAATAATATAAAAATTACTTAATTCTAATTAATAATTATAAAATATTATTATCTAAATATTATAATTTGAATATTAATTTTTAAAATTAAAAAAATTTAAATTTAAATATTTTATAATTTTTGTATTATTTAAATTATTTTATTGTAATATATCAAATAGTGTTTTTATGAATTGAGCTAAACTGAATTTTTATCTAAATTTGAATCTGGTTTAAAATTTGAATCAAACTTGAATCAGACTTTGACTTGAGTTCAAAAAAGATTTAAAGTTTAAACTGAACTCAAATTAAATTATTATACAAGTTTGAGTTTGATTCAAGTTTGATTTAAGATCAATATATAATATTATATACTGATTTGTAACTCTAAATATAAGTTACAATTTTATTTATAAGTATAATTTATGATATTTAGTAAAAATTAAAAGTTTATATAGTGTTACTATTTTATATAATTTTAAACTTTATTACAGAAGAAATATATAAATAATATATATAATCGAATCAAGTGAATGAGTTTGTATGTATTTATAATTTATAATTTTTTTATTTAAAGATTAAAATTCTATAACTAATTATTTTTATAGATTTTTATATGAATAAATTGTTTAAAAGATTATTTTTGTTTTAATTATTATTAATATAAGTATTTTTATTACAATAAAATAATTTAAGAAATAATATATTTAAAATAATATTATCATTTTTGTGAAATTTAAGTTATTTATATATTATTCACATTTTTCTATTAATTTAAAAATAAAAAAAACTAAAAACTATTATTAAAGATAGGTAATATATATTTATATTGTAATAACTTTACTAAATTTTATGTATTTACTTTAAATTTTCAAAGATTATAATATAAACTAATAAGTTTTTTAAGTAACTGTTTTTTAAGTCAAAAATAATAATTTATAATAAGTGATTTATTTTTCAAATCAAAAATTAATACAAATATATATACAAATTATTTATTAATACAAGAAATTTATTAACTAATTTTAATATAGAGGAATCTAAAATTTAAGAAATTTATTTAATTTTATCTAAAATATATATTATATTTATAATAATACTTATATTATTAATTTGTAAATTAATTTGTTATATTATTAATTTTATAAATTAATTTTATTAATAATATTAATCTTATAAATTATTTGATTATAAGTATTATTAGTATTACTTGATATTTACACAAATATTATTAGTATTAATACAAGTATTATTAGTATTATTATCATTCTCATCAAAAATTTTGTAATTAATTAATTTTTGATTAACAAAAATTAAGATATATTATAAAAAAAATTAATGTAATATCATATAACTCAATAATAATCAAATTAATTTGTCTCTTTATTTTTACATTATATTCTATTACATGATTATATTTAATATATATTATTATTTTTTTTTGATATTTAAATTATAATACTTAATCTATAAAGTTTATATTTTTATCTTTTATTTTATTATTTTTAACCAATCATTTTTATATTTATTTTATTTTATTTTTCACTCTTGTTATAATTCTTTTTTTTATCTTTTAATTTCTTTGTTATAATTATCTATAATCATATTCATACTATTATTTTCTTTTTTTATAACACTTCTTTTTACTCAAATTCTTGTTTTTTCTTATATTATTACTAAAATTGCAACTAATTTTTTTTGTATTGTTATGATATGACTTTACATATCATAATTTTTATTAATTATTTCATTTTATCATCTTATTGGTTATATTTATCACATGATTTATCTTCTATTTCTTTAATTTTATTGATTTATTATTTTTAAAAACATTAAGTTTCTAATTATTTAATACTCATATCAATACTTTAATGTAATACATTACAAATACCAGAATTAATACTTAATTTAATACTCGTATCAATACTCTTTTAATGTAACACATTTTAATTACCTGTTCTTATTTGATTTTGATACTCAAATTAATACTTAATACTGAGATTAATACTTAGATCAATACTTGGATTGATAATTATATTACCAGATTAATGGAATGAAATAATGTAGATCAAGTAATGAATAATTTATATAAATATAACATATATCTTAATTATCTTATAATATCTTAGTCTTCTTACAAGTAAATAATCTTTTGATTATAATTTCCTTTTGACAAAATCTTCTTAGAAGTGAGTCGTATTATAAGTCTTGAGTTGAAGATTTTCAATCAAGCATTAATTTCCTTTTTATTTTCTTACTTGTATTCTTTTATTTTAAAGACCTCTCGTCTGTAATAAGCGATGTCTTCTATTTGATATAATTAACCTCTTGTCATCACCCTGCGAAGTTAATTATTATTAATTAGAAACTTAATAAAAGAAAAGATATTATTTTGAAGTTAATTAATTAAAAGAAGATTACTTAATAATAAACTATTCAAATTAAAAAGAAGATTTCTGAGCTCATTCTAGCTGCTCAACTAAATGAATACTTCGTTACTTACCTTTAGATAATTAATTATAAAATTTTTAGTAAATTAGTCTCTCCCAACCTTAAAGTATTTAAAATACGTAAAAACCTTTATTAACTCTCCCACTTAATTAAGACACGTGAAAAACACATGATCTATATTCGAAGGATTATAAAATCAACTAAAATAGTAACAGTATTAGAAGATTATTTTATATTTTGCTTATTCCTTCACGCTTTTTCACACGATGCAATCACTGCCTACTGTTCTAATAAAGACCTTCATTCATAAAGGCTACTAACAGTAACAATATAAGAATGATAACAATATTAACCAATTTATTAATCTATTTTTCTTTTCCTACTCATAAATCTTTTATTAAAAGTGAAGAAATCCTTTATTTAAAGTAATCATAACACTATAAATTTAGATCTTGTATCAGTAGTGTTCCTATGAACTAAACTGAACTGAACTGAACTTTTGCCCAGGTTCAAGTTCAGTTCGAAATTCGAACTGAACTCGAATCGGACTTTGGCTTGAGTTCAAGAAAGGTTCAAAGTTCAAACTGAACTCGAACTGAACTATTATACGAGTTTGAGTCTGGTTTGAGTTTGATTAAAGATCGGTATATAGTATCATATACCAATTTGTAGCTCTAAATATAAGCTACAACTTTAATATTTTACTTATAAGCACAATTTATGGTATTTAGTAAGAATTAAAAGTTTACATAGTAATAACTTAAGTGTTTTTATTTTTACGTTTATTAAATTTGATCGTAAATGCTATGTAACTCTCTGAATAATTATTATTAATGATA